CTTGCCGGGCGTATGTGCCATTTAAGATGTCATCAGCGACTTGGAAATCCTCTCTGAAATGTTCGCTTTGGTGTTATGTGTCCACAGAGAGGTCTTACTCGGTCACGAGTCGACTTCCACTATGTATGTGTTCTGATTGTCTGTTTTTTATGCGAGGGTAGATTAATATGTCCATAGCCTGAAACTATTATTAACTTAATTTTGATTTGGAATATACGGCCACGATGATTAATAGAGAAGTACTGGGTTAAATATATTGACAAAAGAGATTATTTTGGAAAAGATTTATTTTATTTCTATCGTTATAAGCTTCGTATTTACTGATTACCTATATACTTATATGAGTTGATATTCGCTTAATTTAGTCAGGAAAAATGTCACAATTATGGAGTACCCAATGAGGATCGAACCCCTGGATTAGTATTAGGTTGACAAAAAAGTCCTGACTCACTATGTACTTATATGAGTTGATATTCGCTTAATTTAGTCAGGAAAAATGTCACAATTATGGAGTACCCAATGAGGATCGAACCCCTGGATTAGTATTAGGTTGACAAAAAAGTCCTGACTCACTAAGGAAGCGGAAAGAAACCAACAATTTTTCCTGGCGCAACACAAACATATTTATTTTTCAAAATAAAGTCCATCATTCTCGTTGATATTCTGCTAGCAATCAGCCAGCATCCGAATCTGTCCCAGATACCAGACCGCTAGCCTTGAATTAAAATCTGTAAACGAGCTTCCTTTACTTCATCAACTATGTTGAATTGCTGGTCGAACTCGATTGTCCAAAGTTGGATATACTTCTTTAATTTACACTCGGTCTAGCTGCAGACAATACAGTTTAACTTTGATGGCGCGTCCGTGTGGAACAAATTCGAAATGCAGTACTCTTTGGAAATTCTACAAGACAGAGATCGAGATATGTTTTTTCCGCTTCCTAAGTGAGTCAGGACTTTCTGAACAATCTAGTAATATATTCCCAAATTGCTAGCAGTCACGTTCTAGCAGTGGTTAATATAAGCATAAGCCAATTTCAGCCATCAGTGGAGTGACTACCATTAACAGTCGGACACTTAGCTAGAGTGGAAATCTTTACACATTATTGTTTTTTATGGATGTAAGGTGAAGATGAATGAAACTTGGCCTGGTATGTTATGGGGACACAATAAAAGAACACCCCATGAGGATCTAATTCAGTACGGAAAAAAGTTCCTAAGAATCTATTTTACTTACTATTGTTCTATAGCGGCTCTTTGACCTTTAATATACGGCTCGTGGAAATATTTTAGCTAAGCTCCTTTTTTCATCACAGTTAATATAAAAAGTAAATAAAAAATTCGAGCTTTATAATTATTTACTGGGTAGGATTTGAAACGCCATGGAATTAAAACGTAAATTTAATGTGTACGTAACAAAAACGTATGTGTAAATTTTGTTCATGTCTTGCGACCCTCAAACATCTGAACTTTATTGTATATAGTTCTTAGATTAAGCAACTTTGGCCACCCCTATTCTATAGTGTGTCATATTCTCTTTATGTGTTTTGTCATTTTTATGTGGAGTGTTTTGATCTAAATATCTACAACAAACCAAGCAACCTGCAAAGAATAGAAACCTTGAACCTGTTTATCTAACTTAAGGATATGAACTCGATTTATGAACTTGTTGGAGTATTTTTTAACAATTTTTTAAATCTCTTTTTTCTTTTCTTCTATCGTTACATTCTTCTTTCTCGTCGTTCAGCAAAGATTGTAATCTTTGCAAAGGGCAATCTATCACTCTGGTGATACAAAAAAAAGCCAAGTTGTGAATCTTTCCGTTACAACAGAGACAAGTGCTAACATTTCCTTGATGACAGCGAATAGAAACGATTTTATCTAACGTTGGTTCCACCGGTTAACTGTTTCGTGTCAATCTTGATCATGACTCAGTAGTTAAAAACATGCCAACTTTAAAATATATATATATATTCCTCAAAGTCCTTCCGAGATACGCTGAAAAATACCCATTGCTAGACAAGAAAACTTCTGTCTTTTCAGTGGTTAAGATAGAAATATTTAAATGTAAAATGTGTTTAATAATTACACCAACAAATATAAAAATCAAATGTTTTAATATAGATTCTAAACTAATTAATAACAGTGCTGTAGATTAGTTGAGAAAGAAAACAAGTAATCTCCGTATAATATATGAACTTCGTCAGATATTCTTTATTAAAATTTAAATTATGTAACGGTCAGTCTCTACCCAGCACCTGAAGATTGCGTTGTGCATGAAACTCCGAGTCGTGCTACCAGTGAGGAATAATATGTATATTTATTAATATATTCTTAATAGCTTTGTTAATAAAATAGTGCTCAATGCAATATAAGCGTTATATTATATCCAGCATTGTTTTATTAACACCACCACTCAATGAGCGGTATCTTATATATATATATATATATATATATATATATATATATATATATATATAATATATAACAGAATATGTCTGTCTGTGTCTATCTGTCTCTGTGCTATTTATTCACGTCCACATTTCTTGGCCGATTTCGATGAAATTGTACACACATGTTGCAAATTTACCAAAGTAGGTCAAAACTAACTTTTCATTCCCGTTTTTGTTTGACTATTAGATTTGTGAACAATGCTATCCTATTTGAAAGTTATTATGGCCATAGGAAATCTACTGAATATCTAAAACATTGAAACAATTGAACCCGAGCAACAACCACACAAGAAGATTTTAGTGATGAAATTCTTTTGTTAAGAACACTTGCGAAGGACATAACGTAAAAAAAGATGATGGCGGGGAGTAGCTTAGTATACAAACGGATGATGCATGCAAAAGGAAATGCAGGCAGACATTTCTAAACAGAGGGTGTACGGGTATACAAGGGTTGCAGTTATACAATTGCACAATTGCAGCCATGTACACCCGGGCAACGCCAGGTACTTCGTATAATATATATATATATATATATATATATATATATATATATATAAAATATATCACATCAGAAAACAAGAAAATCTGAGCGTGTATCGGTTGAAAAGAAGCAATGAAACAACAAAGATGGGGATATCCGTTTAAATGAATCATAACTAAAACATTTTTCGTCAGAAAGTTAGACAATCTTTAAAGCGAAACATTTCAGAAAAAATAGTCTGCAGAGAGTAAAAATAAAAAGACATTGCAAAGATTAGAAAGAATTAGGTTATTTTGAAATGTTCATGTGTTGCCTTCCAGCCAGTGCTCTGTCTACTGAAACGTTTTGTCTGATCAGATGGTTGCTTAAACCGTCAGTCTCTTTTATTTTTCTAATCTTTTTCTGTCTTCTTCATTAGAAGTTTGTGCCAACTGAATGACACATTACTTCAAAGACAGGCGAGAGTGATGATTGACGTAAACTCTTTTGGCAGATTCAACAAGGCTGGCATAAATGTACATTACATACACAAATGAACATTGCTCACATAAAGACTATTAGGACTTTCGAATTCTTCCATAGATCTATAGCGTTTACTAAGCACAGTTAAGTCTGGCACAAGTTCAAAAATTATGTGGAGCCCTTTTGATCAAGTTTCATAAGAAATACTCTGCTAAAGAAACTTAGAAAATAGTTTCAGGGTGAGGTGATATATATTTACTAAAATTCGCTTAATCTGGAACAAGACTATAAGTGTTGAGTACTTTTGTAGTAAGGACTTAAATATCTAGTCTACTAACCGTGGTGTTATACGATTTCCATATTGAAATTACTGTCTGTAATTACTGTAGTCTCGGAGTTAGAATCGAACTGACTAAATTAGGTCTATATAATCTTTTTATCTATTAGAGTTAAATGATTTATAGCGGTTTACTAAGCATTTCTTAGATGTGACATAAAGCCGAAAGTAAGAGGCACCCAATGAGTGTTGAACTCACTAAACAGTCGTAATTGATGTAGCAAGACAAGCTTGCTAACTACGTTGCTAACTACGTTGAAATCTCCTGCACAGTGAAACGATAGTTATTGACTAAAAGGGATAGAATGTTGGACAGTGGTAAATGTAAGGAATCGAATAAACATATGACACCCAATATGGTATCCCATAAACAAATGGTACCTTGTTTCTCATTAGCAATCGTTTGCAACTCAAGATTGTTCTAAGGCTTGTTTCTGCTGTAATGCCTCGTAATGCTTGTTTCTGCCTCGTCATAATGTTTAACAAGATGATCTCCTAAGACATTACTACTGAGTATGGAGTTAAAATAAACCAGTGGCTGTTCTATACTTATGCTCTTAGATGAAAACTAAACTGCACTTAGTAACTATTTCAATGAGTGTGAGTATACCAGTTATTACTACTATACGAGTAGATTTGATAGCAAAATAGGGCGTTATCACGTTGAATCACCGGTTCACGTACGATCGACATTTTCAAAGACAACGTTTTTCTTTTCTTATTTATGATTTGGTAAACTATTTCTTTCTTTATCATTCTTTCTTCACTTTCGGTCATATCACGTTGAAAAACCGTTTCCCAGCCCATCTTCGAACTTAAGCAACGTTGAGCTTGTTCAGTAATTAGAGGAGTGACCGCTTGCGATAACCAGGTGCTTGTAAGCGGGAATATGCAAGTGATGTAATGAATAATGGCTCGAAATTGTTAATTTGGGTGCCGAGTTCCAATTTCAGTTCCATTTGGGTTCGTTATAATAACTTACGCGCAAATACCCTTGAGAATAAATCCACTTATTCGACCCACTCAGGTATGGCTTAATTAATAGGATTTGTATCATGAAATTGTTACCTCCCCAAGATTATTAGATATGAATACAGCTCTTCTCTCCTCAGCTATGGATTAATTAGTAAGACACATATCATTAAATTATTATCTCCAAAAATCTTACAATGTAAAAATATTTTATGGCTTTAAATAAGCTGCAGAAAACGATTCAATCAATCAAAATTTTGTTAGATTATTTCACTCTATAACAAGCGATTTACAAACATACCACGTTGAAATACCAGTGCTCGTACAAGCACCGAAGTTAAGCAATTAAGAGACTGGTTACTACTTAGATGGATGACCTCTTGGGAATGCAAGATGCTGTAAGGTTGGATATGTGGCTGCTAATGCATAACAACTCGCAGTTGAAAATCAGTTATATCCACATAAGCGCAAATACACTTGGGAAGGAATCTACTTCTTCGACCCACTCAGCTATGGGTGAATTAATAGGATTTATATCAGGAAATTGTTATCTCCCCCAAATTATTAGAATCTAAAATATTTTCTGAATTTAAAATGACTTGAAAAGTGTTGATAGCCAGTAAAAACAAATCAGTCTATAACGAGCGCTTTACGTAGGTATTTATTAGGTTTACTCATACATATAGAAGCCAGTGGGACTCATCCTCACTTGAATTATCATGCAAGCCTGGTCTTTTTAACTGATAAGCATCCTTTTATACTTCATCTACTTGCTCAGAGCTGTAATATTTTTGACATTCAATGCTATTCACAGGCTATAGCGACATTCTGGTGCAATAGATCCGACCATGCCCTTTTTTCCACCGATAGTTAAATCAGTAGCGATTATTTATTGACTCATAACTGGACGCTAGCATCACCTATGTGTTTATAGTCTATACACACTAGTCCGTTGATATATATGACACTGATACTATATGTCTGGCTATTGAACTATATATTTGTACATATTTGTATATTTTAACTTCGCCATATTTATCTATAGCATTCTGCTTAAAAGCTAAACAGGATCAGTGTTTGAACCCAGATATCATGAAGGATTTCGAATAGAATTTTTTAAATGATAGACGGACTCTTCTCAGGACAAAACTTGGCCCAGTACAACTTTCCAATCACTTAACAAGCGTAGTTAAAAATCTATAATCGCCTCAAGGTATATTCCAATTTATTATTTGTGGCTTTAACTGGATTTGTTAAAATATAATCTATACCAATACAAATTTGAGTTGGTTTATATTTTCTGTCTCTCTCCATCCGCCCGTCTGTCTGTCTTTCTGTCTCTGTCTCCAACTGTCTCTCTCTCTCTCTCTCTCTCTCTATATATATATATATATATATATATATATATATATATATATATCTACGTTATTCTCACTTTCTCTGTCTATCTCTCTTTGGGCGTGTGTTTGTCAAGGATGTGATATAAAATGATTCAGAATAATATATATGATACAAATTATATAATAATATATATACACATGTTATATATATATATATATATATATATATGTGTGTGTGCAAGCTTCATTAAATATGACAGACAGGGTGCTTTCATTAAGTTTCTTATATAATTTCTCATATGCTCTTATAATTTTATAAAAACAATTATAAGATCATATGAGAAATTATATAAAAAAAACTTTTATCAAAGCAAACTTGTCTGTCATATTTAATGAAGCTTGCCTGAAAGAAGGATTGCTTTAAAATAATATATATATATATATATATATATATATATATATATATATATATATATATATATATATATACCAAACAATATACTCACTTCTATCCATGTCTGTCTGTATGTCCTTAACTTTATCTAACGAGGAAGTTAGCTAGCTACCTCTATTCGTCATCACACTGAAATCTGTTGAACAGTAGGAAAAGCGAAATAAATTTTCACCAAGAATTTCCAAACTGCCGCTTAATGCAATTGAATCGTTTTGTGATCTTTTGAAAGGCACGCTGAACACAGAGAATGGACAATGTAGAATCCATTGATTCGTTGTAAGCGAGATTTTGGAGGGTGAACACGGATCAAGGAGTATAGCTCTCCTGCTAAAGCTACATACTTCAATCCGATACATTGGCTTTCATTTAAGTGCTGTTCTTTGAACATTTCTGGCCTTGCGTCATGGGCAGTCACTGAAACAGGAAACGAAAGAGAGAAAAAAAAGGGGGCGGGGAAGTGGCTGGAAAAAGGGCTCTGAATGAGCGAAAAGGCAAGGCAAATTGAAGCTCCCCCAAAAGAAGTTACTGATGACTTGAACGAACAGTCAACATATTTATATCCTGTCCTTGCCTCGATCACCGTCTATGGTGGCTGCTTCATTTATTTCCCTTTCACCGAAGAACAAATTAAAAGGAAAATTACTTCCTTTTCGCTATTACATTCTTTCTTTCATTCTTTCTTTCTTTTCTTTCGCTTTGTCTTTTTTATTCTCCCACTCCTTCCTTCTTTGTTTTCTTTCTTTCTTTTTACGTTGGCTTTGCTCTGCGTATTCTTCCATTCCTTCCTTCCTTTTTTCTTTCTTTCTTTTTACGTTGGCTTTGCTCTGTGTATTCTTCCAATCCTTCCTTCCTTCCTTTTTTCTTTCTTTCTTTTTACGTTGGCTTTGTTCTGTGTATTCTTCCATTCCTTCCTTCCTTTTTTCTTTCTTTCTTTTTACGTTGACTTTGTTCTGTGTATTCTTCCATTCCTTCCTTCCTTCCTTTTTTTTTTTTCTTTTCTTTTTTTTACGTTGGCTTTGCTCTGTGTATTTTTCCATTCCTTCCTTCCTTTTTTCTTTCTTTCTTTTTACGTTGGCTTTGCTCTGCGTATTCTTCCATTCCTTCCTTCCTTCCTTTTTTCTTTCTTTCTTTTTACGTTGACTTTGTTCTGTGTATTCTTCCATTCCTTCCTTCCTTCCTTTTTTTTCTTTCTTTCTTTTTACGTTGGCTTTGCTCTGTGTATTCTTCCATTCCTTCCTTCCTTTTTTCTTTCTTTCTTTTTACGTTGGCTTTGCTCTGCGTATTCTTCCATTCCTTCCTTCCTTCCTTTTTTCTTTCTTTCTTTTTACGTTGGCTTTGCTCTGTGTATTCTTCCAATCCTTCCTTCCTTCCTTTTTTCTTTCTTTCTTTTTACGTTGGCTTTGTTCTGTGTATTCTTCCATTCCTTCCTTCCTTTTTTCTTTCTTTCTTTTTACGTTGGCTTTGCTCTGCGTATTCTTCCAATCCTTCCTTCCTTCCTTTTTTTCTTTCTTTCTTTTTGCGTTCGCTTTGTTCTGTGTATTCTTCCATACCTTCTTAATTTCTTTCTTTTATATATCTCATTCATTTTCTTGTTTTTCTTCTTTTTTCTAACTGTTTTTTATCATATTTTTTATTTAGTTAATTATTTTTTCATTCGTTTTTTTCTCTCCAATTCTTTTTTTTTTTTTGTTTCCCTTTTCATTCTACTATTCTTTCGTTTTTTTCTCTCTTTATTTTCTGTATATCCATTTCATTTTTTTCTTTCTTCTGTTTTTCTTTTCCTAATTATGATTTGGTTAATTCTTTCATTAATTTTTTCCTTATTTAGTTATTTGGTCTTGTCTTGTTTTTATTCATTTTTTTTTTTCATTTCTTCTTTAGGTCCTTTTATTTTCTCTTTTTTTTTTTATCTATTTCTGATTCATTTATCTATCTTTATTCTGTCTTTCTTTCTTTCTTTCTTTCTTTCAATTTGTTTTATTTCTATGCTTTTATTCCCGTCTTTCATTTTTACCTTTCTTTTTGATTTATTTTTCATTCATTTTTCTTTTTCCTCAAAGGTAACATTTTTTCATTCTTATTTATGATTTGGTTTATCTATTTCTTTGTTTATTTCGTTCTTTCTTGGTTTACGGCAATATCACGTTGAAAAACTATTTCCCAGCCGATCTCCAAAGTTAAAAAAAATCTTGATAAGCTGTAAAAAAAATCAATTTTTCTTTAATTTATCCTTCCTTTTCTTCCTATCATTTGCTTTCTTCTTTTTTTTTTCTGGTTCTATGTCTTTGTTGTCATCTAGTTTCTTTTTCAATGCCGTCATTTTTTTTTCATTTCTTTATTTCTTTCGTTGAATCTTTCTCATTCTTTGTTCCATTTATTCCTCCTTCTTTTTCTTTATACTTAAATTCATTTTTACTTTTCTGTTTTTAAATAATTTTATACTTTTCTCATGTTTTATATTTTTCAACTTTTATTGTTATTTTATTTTTTCTTTCAGTTAATTTAGTTATTTATTCTAATCTTTTATGCGATATCAGATTATATTATTCAAGGGAAAATTTTCATAATAAAATTAACATTTTTTTCAATTGTTGTTATAAGCTTCGTTATATATTCACATTTATGTGATAAATAGACCAGGTGAATTTCATCATGTCTCTTTTATTAGAAATATTTGCTGAAATCGACAAACATATTGCTAAAAATTTCCCTCAATTTAAACGTGATTTGAACTCATTAATAACGATCTATGAGACTACCTTAGTAAACATTACTATTGTTAAAAGCTTTCTGTAGATATTTGCTATGTTCAGCTTTGTAGATGGCAACAAGTGTGTGATAGCCAATATGTTTGTGTGCCTAGAAACACATCATTAAGGTATCAGATTCTAAAGAGTCTTGAAACTGAACTACCATTTTTGCGTCTGGATATTTCGTTCCAAAAGGTGGGCTCATACCATTCTGGAAAGAACCGAGATGTTTTAATAACCCTTTCCGTGATTTTCACAGATTTTTCTGATGTTTTAGATGCGATGATTTTCATTTATGTGTACTGAGTACATTTGATGTTCTTTTGTGTTTGATGATAGGATAGCAGAATAAAGAGTTTATTTGGGGTTTGGAGCTGTACACAAGCTGGAAAAATGTTTTCTTCGGCAAACAGGGAATAGGCAGCTGATAGAGAATATATTTGACATCGGTATCGTTGAGAATTTTGGCTCTCCGCGGAAGAAGCGTTTTGTAAATATGCTCCTGTTTCTGCAAAAGAACAGCAACCTTCTACGTAAATGTTTGGCGAGTTTTACAATGGCTGAAAAAAAACAACTAATGTACTATTCCGATTGTTTGGATTTTGTCAAGTCTTCTGACAAATCAAATAAAAAATATTAAATATTCATTGAGTTAGTCTTTCTTTCAAAGCGCAGGTATCTTTATTATGACATTTTTACGAAACATACGAGGCAAATCTGAAAAGATCTCTAACTAACCCACTTCTGAAAATAAGTAGTATGATGCTAGGACATTGAAATGTTGATTTTAGGAAGTAGATCGAGCCGAAAACTTTTCGCCATCCCTTCATAGTTTGAAGAATGACATAGCTCTAATATCTGGGCACCGATTTAAGATCGAAATAGTGCTGAATATTTTATGTCTTATACCATTCTACAGATATTGAACCAAATAAATATTGGCTTAAGCCGAGACGGGTCAAAAACACGGTTTCCAGTGAGAATCGAAGTAAGTTGGAATGCTTTACCTATTTAATCTGCAAACATTTACTCTTTTATTACTTTCTACAGATATTAACTAAAATTAGCTTCCAGGTTTAAAGCTGTTAGACACTCAATGAACGTTTTGCAGAACACACTTTTATAAGACTATAGCAGTCGACTAGAATACATTAAATCTCGTCTGAAACAAGACACACTTGTAGATATTTTAAAATGCGATTTATTTTCAGGACAAAAGTGACCATGGCACTTCATAAATTACTTTTTTTATTATTATGTCAGAATTTTCCTTATTTCTTGATAAAGATACTGGAATTATTTTCCCCTTGCTTTCTCTAATGATTTTAATTTACGGTTGTCTTTCTTTTACTCTGACTGTCAACCAAGTCTCAAAATCCTACTTTATGCATCTATTTAACTCGTAGTTTCGGAAGCGTTGAATTCATTACCACGATCATTTGTGCGAAGTTGAACGCAATAGACTTGGTTGGAATTTGAACTTAGCTCCTTGGTTACACTTTTTAGGTTGATAACCGTTACACTAATCACCCATCCCACCAAACAGCGGTGTAATCAGCGGAGTACCCAGCGGGAATAGAAATGGAAATGATCTTCGAGAATGTTAGAAGATTTAAGCAACACAAACCCTCTAATCCTTATTTCCGTTGATTTGACATTATGCACGCCGAAATGAAACTCAATTAATTTCTGTGGAAGATGCGTGTGTACGCGCACACCGTACATGTCTGCAGTAGCAATTTCTGCTTTCTAGTATTAACTTGGTACATTGCAGTTTATATTTCGTATTCTCCATCAATTATCGGAGTTAAAATTATTTCTTCTTGCCACCGGTAATCGCTACAAATCTCATACTAGCAGCTATAATGTTGACTGCAGTTAGATAAACCAAAGATTTTTTTTTTTTTTTGCATTTGTTTCTAGGTTTGACGCAGGTGTGAGTAAAAAGGCGGCTTCCTTTCAAGCATATTTTCTGTGCGCAATAAAACAAAGGACAAGAAGGAATAATATTTAAATTAGTTTTCTGATAATATCTACGGGCAAGATTGCGTTTGAAACTACAAACTTAAACACCTAGCTTAAAATATATTTGTTTACAAATATATATATATATATATATATGATTGGTGTGGATTGTATTTGTGTGTACATATTCATAATTGTGTGCAAATATTCACTTGTTAGCCATGCCTCACAGACAAATTCTACAGGTACTTACAAATTTTACGTCTCTCAGTATAGTTGCAAGAACCAGCCAAAATTTTTTACTATATGCCATGACCCCCTCCTACAGAAGCCTTTCATTTATTATCTGTGAATTGACATGCATAATTGGAAAGATAGTGGAGTGTTTTCTTTATCCACTGTCTACGATTCATAATTATTATTCTCTTAGGTTGGTTGCCATCTAAGTCTAGAGAGCAAAATCTTCTCTGCTATTTAACACATAGCTGCTGAGGAGAGGAGGAGGAGAAAAAGGAAGGAAGAGACGTATTCATGCCGTTCCCAAAGGCATTAGCGCGAAAATGAATGTAACAGAAAAGGCTGGAATTTGAACTGATTACACGTCCCACGGCGCTATGTCAGTTACACTAGTCACACATCCCCCAACCAAAGTACCAAACGAAAAATCATCCTTTCTACAAACTGCATATGTGAAAAGGATACATCAATGAAACCAGACTCTCTACAAACCCTCTTTAGAAAAAATATGTCAATGAAACCAGATCACCTACAAACTGATTTCTTAACAATAATACATATTTTATTCAAACGAATATATTGAATAACCGACTGAGTTTGATATGACGTAAAACAAAATAAACACAAAATTCAACAGAAAAAAAAAGATTGTTTCTCGTCCTGAAGAAACAATATATAGATCCTATTTTGTAGTGTAACTTAGGTTCGATCAAAAAGATTTTAAGATTATATCATTTGAAATGAAGTGCCCAAAACGGAGAGAGCAGTTCATTGGATTGTGTCAACAATTTTTATAAATGATATCAACCGGATAACCTATGTGATACGTAATATACAAAAACCTGTCGTATCTGTGATGCCTTGGGTCACGGACATGATTTAAACCGTTTGCCCGCGAAGTGATTGTTGGGGCCAGAAAGATGAAACATTCAATGCCTGCTTTGGCTTTTTCCGGGTAAAGGTTGCAAGCAATATATGAATTTCCGACTGGCATTAATGGCGCATGGAAGCTAACGGCGCGTACGAGTGAGGGAGTAACAAGGATGGCGATACCGTAAGGAAGAGTAACATTTCATCAAATTCCATCCCAATCGCTAGTACCGATTAACACATCAGTCAATGAAATATACAATGCACACTCCATGTCATGGAGTTTAGTAGTAATCAATTATCAACTATTTTCTCCTCGACTGAGCCAGAGAATCTTGTTATTGGACCGTGACAGACACGAGATGCAACGTCTCATCAGACATTGCATGTTTCTAGGTCTTTTATTCAGATAGTTAATTTTGTGTTTGAGAAGACCGTCTGTGGTTATGGATACAATTTGTCACCGGGCTGTTGTGCGAGGGGAAAGTTGATTTACAATATGGCCGGTTGAAGCCTGCAAAGTCCCTTGAGTTATGTCCTACCAGATGTGGAATACAAAGATTTTGTTGCAAATCATTTTCACCCCTTTATACCATATTTTCTGTTCTGTTCCAGGAATATGACGACCCACTCCCATCTAATAGGCTTAAACGAATCTATTTTCAGGGAGATTAGATTGCCTTCGATTTTCATTAATGGCTTATGCTCTCACCATATTTAAGCGTAAAGAGCATTATTTGTATATGTTGCAACTGTACTCAACAAACACACTTCGGTTATGCGCATCCTTGAAACATGTTTGAATAGATATACACCTATGAAATACCACAAATCCTCTATACTACGAGTCCGGATGTTGTAACTTTTGGGTTGGAAACAAGGTTCCCGCACAGCTTTATATATATATATATATATATATATATATATATATATATATATATATATATATATATATAATTTGCTGATTTGAGAAATGATTCATTGAATAATTTAAATAAGTTCTATCTACTTATTTTCAATTGGATCCTTTCGTATTCAAAGACAAATGTTTTGGTGTCATTATTAAAGGAAGAGAGAATATTACCGTGTTCATACATATTATTTATTGCGAGTACTTTCGACATTAGCAGAATGTCATTTTCAGGGTGTTGTTCTTTCAAGACAAATATTGTAGTGTCTCAATTAACACATGTTGCCAAAATATACACAGTTTGTTGACATATATATTTATTTGTGTATAAGTAAATGCAGTATCTTTTGATTGATTATTTTATTCATTTCAGCGTTTCTTATATGTTAACAAAATGTTCTCGTGATCAGCAATGCATATTGTTGGTGTATGGTTGCAAGTCCGGCCTAAACAATGGACAATCGCAACGTCGTATCAACCATGCATATAGTGAAAGGCGCAATTGGTCGTCACACGGTTTACGATTGGTTAAAGAAGATTCAGCGTAGCCAATTCAATGTCCAGGATCAGCTACGAAGTGGGTGACCCTCACGCATTGGCAATGGGCATTTGTACGCCTGTATCGAAACAGACCCACACCTGACAGCACGTGATCTGGTTGAGAAGATTGGC